CCAATCATACCAGGCAATATTTGACCGAGTTTCTTTCCTAAAGTTTTAAGCCCATTTCCAACACCTTTAGCGACTCCAGTTAGGCCGGATGTAAGTTGAGAAACAATAACGCCAATAGTAACACCGACTGCTGTAAGAACAGAAGTTACTGTGAAGCCGTATTTCTTAAAAATTCTTTTGACTCTTTCAAGAAGAGATAACTTTTCTTCTATAGCTTCTTGATTTTCTTCTATTTCTTCATTTTTAGCCTCGAGCTCACTCTGTTTAGCTTGCAGACGACTTTTATGCGCTTGCCGGGCATCACGCGATTCAACCACTTCGTTATTTTCTTGAATAAGTCTATTGCGCTTACTTTTAATACGTTCTTGCTCATCACCATCAGGAGCATCATTTGCTTGCCGCTCGAGGTTTTCTAAAAGAGATTTATTTGATGCGATTGATTGCTCATCTTCTTCTATTTGTCTATTAACTACTTCTACCTGCGGTTCAATATGTCGAAGCTGCTCTTCATTAGCAGCTTTTTCTTTATCACCTTCTTCTAAGATTTGTCTAGCTGTTTTACCAAGAATATTTTTAATTTCGACTGAGGCGTGTCTTAGATTAAAATCGTTTCTACGGCCTATAGTAGCCCATTCATTTGTAGATTTATTCCAAATAGATATTGTACCCCTCCCCATCTGGCGGTCCCACATACCACCTTTATAAGCTATATCAAAGTCTCCATTATAACTTTCGGACAGTTTATTCTCAGGAAATTCCTCATCTATAAACCTTTTACCTTCCGCATATTCCACATCAGCTGCGGCGGTTCTCTTAAAATGACTTTTTAAAGTTTTGGGTAATTTGTTCAAATCTTCATAACTCATCAGACGATGCCATACAGATCCTTTCCTGTTAAGTCTTACTTCTGTTTCACCAGATTCGTTTAATTGGGTTAATACTTCTCTTTTATCCCAGACGCTAAAAAGTTTATCAAGATTTTCTTCAGCCTCATCATTAATAGCTTCTCTTACTGAAACTTTATTAAAATCAGCCATCTTGATATACTCGGGTGTATTTCTATTGTTTTCTTCAGATATCTTAATCATGCGATTGGCGGCATATTTAGAGCCTCGACCAAACGTTCGAATAAATCTTTTAAACCACCCTTCTTGTGATTCATCTTCGCGCTTCTCAAGATCCTCAAACTCGTCATCAACTGTTTGATCTAAATCAGCTCGGCCTTGTTCTGTAGTTGGATCAAAATCCGTATCAGGTAGTGGTTGATATTCTGCCATATTATGTTTATAATATATCTTATGTATAATGACACTAGAAAGCAGATTTAATAAGGCTGTCGAGGAGCAAGAAATTCAAAAATGGGGTGAATTAGAAGAAGGAGTTATTTATGAAATTATTAGATTTAATCAGCTTTCTACAATTCATGGTCCGGCAGTTAAAGTCGTTCTAGAAGATGATGAATATCAATACACAGTATGGGCGCCAAAAAGGCTTGGCGAGATGCTTTTGCAAGATACTTATACTCATGTTAGGCCGAAGGGGAAGAGAATGTCCAAGTCAGGAAATCAATATTATGACTTTGACGTTGCGTGCCTCGATTGAAATTTTTGAATCT